GACAAAAAAAAAAAGCCCAACAAGAAAGAAAAGCTTGTAGTTAGTTCAAGGACTCTTTGTTGGCCTTTAGGAGTGTTTTCCAGTCCTGTTTGTTGGGGCACCGTGCCCTGGCCTGGAAGTCCACCTTCAGCATTCCCTGGGGACCTGCCACTCCATTCCCTTGCTACGTGGGTGCTGTGTAAGAGATCGTGATTGCACAGCTCACTTTGGGGGTAAATCAACATGGGGGCAGGGAATGCTGCAGGATGGACATGGTGATGATTGTACAATTCCCCCTTGATGTGTTTGAGTAACTGAACTATTCAATTCTTTGATATGTAAATTACATGCCAATAAAACTGTTAGAGAAAAAAACACCCATTCATTTGGCAAGCATTCCAATTCAATGGTAATGATTCAGTAGCATGATCCTCTCATATAAACAAGAATTTTGGTGGCTTCACTGTTGACAACAGTAAAAACCAGGGAGGAAAACCAGTGCCTGCAAACAGGAGCATAAATTGTGTCAAACAAAAAAAATAGTACATAACAGTTAAAACTTGTAAATTACAGGGAGGCACAATGGGACATGGTAGGCCATTCCCGACATGACTTGATCTCTGCCACCTGGTATTCACACCCTTGAGCTATCCTCTCACCTGGAGTGTGGGCTGGATGCAGTGACTTGCTTCTAACAAAGAACAGGATGACAGTGATGGGCTGTCTCTCCCATGAATCGGTTAAAATGGACTGTGACCTGTACCTTGCTGATATTCTTACCTGGCTCCTTTTGGGTACTCTGATGGAAAGGACAGCTTATCAAGGATCTGAGGGCAACCCCTGCCCAAGGACCAGCATGGATCTGAGAGTTTGAAGACTGAGCAAAGACCTCAATCTAGTAGCCCATAATAGAAAATCAAGCCCTTTTCCTAAAAAGACCTAGCAAACGAAGACCAGAATTATGCCATGTGGCTGCCCCTATCTTTAAAATTAGCCCCCAAGCGCAAGTTTCTCAATCTTCTAATCTCTATAAATTGTTCAATCTCCATAAAAAAAGAAGGCAAAGAAAATTCAGATTGGGGTGAGAGTTGGGTTAGCCAACCAATTGTGACTACCATCATTAATATTAAATCCAAATTTTATCTCTGAGATTATTTAATCCAATTCCTTCATTTTATAGACTATAATGGCACCTTGTAATCCTTTTTGGGTGGCTGGCATCCAACTCCTTGCCCTTTCAATAAACCACACACATGCTTTTCTTATAGAATGCCAAATCTCCCTTTTGGATAATTCTTCTAGTAGAAAGTTAAACAAGTTTCCACAACAGAAACCAAAGAAGCAAAATTTTCCTTCTTTCCATCACAGCACAAGCTGGGGCATCACATGTCGTAAGCCAGTCAGTTGCTCACTCCCACAACATTTTGTGCTAGGTATGTTGTACATGGATATGCTTGCATATGTATAGTTTGCATATAAAAACTAAATATGACTCATTCTCTATAGAAGCCCTGGTGGCATAATGGTTACACATTGGGCTGCTAACCACAAGATCAGCAGTTCGAAACCACCAGCCACTCCAAGGGAGAAAGATGAGGCTTTCTAGTTCCATAAGGAGTTACAACCTCAGAAACCCACAGGCGCAATTTTACCCTGTCCTATAGGGTCACCAAGAGTTGGAATAGACGTGATGGTAGTGAATTTGATTTTTTTGTTGTTGCCACTATATAACATACTTTTTTTCTAAAGTCTCTTTTTCTTAAGGCTGAGTGCAGCCCATGGTTTCATGACGCACTAATGTGTGAGAGTTTAGGCAAACACAGGTCTTACAAAAACCACATGAAGACCAGATAACGAAACCTACAAGAGAGGAATCTGACAGAAATTTGACAGCATATGTTTATGGCAAGGGGCCCCAGTGCTTAGTGATTGTGCATTGGGCTGCAAACTACATGGTCAGCAATTTGACACTACCAGCAAGCTCCATGGGAGGAAAAACAGGACTTCCTACTCCTGTGTAAAGAGTTACAGTCTTGGAAGCTCCCAAGGGCAGTTCTACTCTGTCCTTTAAAGTCACTGTGAATTGGCATCCCTCAATGACAGTTTGGTTTGGTGTAGCCCCCCGACCCTTGGTTTATGGCCAATAGTTTAGGTGACATACTCTATTTCCAGTGTACCCAGGACAGCCCCAGTAATCTGTTCTTTTGACATCATTTCCAATAGTGTCCTAGTTCATGCTCAAGATGGTGATCTATGGCTATAAACAATGAATTATTTGATTTTCCTCTTAAAAATAATGAAAATAACCATACTCAAGCCTTAGGGAAAAAAGAGAGAGAAGACTTGTTTTGAATGCCTATGCTCAGTGAACAAGTAGGAGCCCAGACATGAGACCCAGAAGATACTAAGGAAGATCTGATTCTTATTTCTCTTTTCCTTTCTTTCTTTTTCTAATCTTTATTACCTTTAGCTCTAGCAAACCATCTGTGTCTTCCCCTGCCTCCATCTTACTTACCTAAACTAAACTCCCTCTAACTGAACTAGATTATCTTCTCTTTCACCTAAGTTAACAC